AAATTAACAGCTTTGCCGATGCCTGGAAGGTAAACAAGGAACCTGTGAGCCTTGGTGGGGTGAGCTCTGTGAGGCTGTGAGGCCCAGGTGTCCCAGAAGCACCCTGCACTCTCCCACCGGTTGATTCACCACCTGGAAGCACAGTGAGCTTGAGCTTGACCGACTGCTGAGGCAGCCGCGGGGCCAGGCGGAGGTTTCCCCCATTCCCGGTGCCTTCCGTGCATGTGATGTCCCTGCTCTTTGGGCAATCCCCCTAAATGAGGCCTCCAAGTCACGGTGTTGGAGTGTCACCACGAGTGACAGTAAATGATGCTTCTTGCTCTTCCAAGCACGCTGACCAGGACAACTCAGTGTCCTGTGGGGAACGCGGGAGGCCAAGAGAATCAGCCCGGAAAACTTCGCTCGGCCTGGTCCAGGCTGGGGGTGGGGTGGGGGGTTGGGGGGTGTTGCATCAGGCCAGAGTTTCCGGGGCTCAAACGAATGATCTGGGCTTTGACTTTCATGCCCTTGTTTTATAAAATGTTAACCCGTCATAAAGCTTACAATGTCTATACAGTACACATGTAGAAATATATCTGCAAACAGTTTTTTTAAAAATGTAAATGTGCGTCCAAAATATTTGTAATTGCTGCTGCCCATTGAAAAGAAGAGCTGGTATAATAAATACACCCTCAGCAACGCACGTCCCCCCACTCCCATGTTTGGGACGCTTCCGGCCAAGGGTGTGTATGACAGAGGTTCTACTTCTGTCTGAGTTTGGAAAGATTGTCCAGTTCTGACCGTCTCAGAATTTGACAGGTCAGAAGTAGTTTTTAATTTTTCTCTTACATGGAACAGTGCCGACGGATTGATTCTAAATGCTGTAGTTTTAGTTTCTTTTTCCGCAAGGCTTGGGTGCACAGTAACGCGGCTGGGTCTTTCCGCATCTTGTGAGAGGTCAGAACCAAAGCCTGCAGGGAGGCCACTTCCTGCCGGAGCCCGGCCCGCCTGACCCTGCCTCTCCCCGCCCCCAGGGTGGATTTCCTGCTTCCGTGTCCTCGCACCACCTCGGTCCCAGGGGCTCCCAGGGGCTCGCTGGGCTGCTCCCTGGGGCTCCGGACAGAGCGCCACACCTCCGTGGTCAGCTGGCCCTCCGCGAGCCAAGCCCCTCCGCAGACCCACTCCTCCCCACAGGAAGTGTGTGGCCAGCCAGGGCCTGTCCAGCTTTTTCTGGCCCATCGACCACAGCAGAGCTCTTTCTAGAGCTAGAAAGGATTTTAAGGAATTCTCTGGTATCAGTGTCACCCTCAGAATGCCTTTGTGGGCCCTCCTGCTGGCCAGCAGTGCCCCTGACGTGAGACTATAAGGAAGAGCAGGATGCAGCCTCTGAAGAAATCCCAGCTTCTCAGGGGAAAGGAGAGAAACCAAGCAACAAACCAACGTCAAGGATAACCTGGGCCTCATCCCCTGTGCGGTGCAGCCAGCCCGGGTGTGTCCCGTTTCCCTGCTCAGTGTGACACCGGTCAGCGAGCTCACCCAGCCTCAGTCTTCTCGTCCTTAAAATGGGACTTCCTTTGCCTCCGAGGATCGGCTGTGCGCTGTGGGAGGGACAACGTAAGCTGCCGCCGAGGCACCTGGCCGGTAAATCCAGTAGCTTGTCCCCTTCCTGTTCTTAGAGGAC